AAATTTAGTCAAAATCAAGGGTTAGAGCTAGACCTAGGGTTTTAGCAAAACTAAGCTTTAAGCATGGAATTTGTAATGAAATGGGCTAGAAATCATATATTATTGATCCTTAGATTGTAGAGAACAATTTCCTTCGAAAAGTATCGGAATCCGGGCGCGTGGGCCTGGGTCGGAATTTAGGAAACTTGTGAAAAGAATTGGGAAATGGCTTAAATAGCTAGAATTCGATCTTGTAAACTTATATTGACTAGTTCTTACTTCGTTTAACTAGTTTGTGATCGTTCGGCTCCGAATTGAGGGTTTGGGCTTGTTCTTGATATTGGAAGTGCGCTTCAAAGCGAGGTGAGTCTCTTTTCTAACCTTGTAAGAGGGAATTGTCCCCATAGGATTAATACTTGAGTAATTGTCCTCAAACTTTTAAATTATCCGAATCAGTAATTGTGACTCAAATATTAATTCAACAAACCAAATTCATTTGGGTGGTGAAAATAAGATTTTTAACAAACTTAAATATGTGGGTTTAAGTTTCGAATTTGATATTGTGAGAAATTAGGAGTAGGTGTTATTTAGACTTGTTAGAAATAGTAGAAGGAGGTTGTATATAAAACTTGAAGTCATTTAATGGAGATTTGGACTGGTATTGAACAAGAATTGCAATTGAAAATGGTGGAAGAAGTTTGTCTACAGACGTTTGTATAAAGGTGTATAAAAGTGTATAATAGTGTATAAGGTGTGTCTCTACACTCATATATAATATTATACAATATTATACATAATTATATAAAAAACTGACTTCGTCTTCTTCGTTGCGTTTTTTCTGAAATTTAACTCAAATCTTGCTCAAATCTACTCCAAATCACTTCAAATTTAAATTTTGAACTACTTTTGATATTTTCAGTCAATTAGAACAATACCCAATCCAAACAACTAACAAATTCAAAAAAACCCATTTTCAAAAGCAAAGCTTTGAATGGTCTTCAATGGGGACTTCTACTCTTTAATTTTCTTTCATTTCAAGCAAGTGACACACAAGAGGAGAAGCAGAAAATACACGGCCCTTTGAAGCATATGTAGAGATGTGAGAAGAAGAGAGAGTCAAAGCATTAGTTGTGAGAACAAAGAATTAACTCCATAGCTTTTAAAAGCAATGGTTATAAAAACACAGATTTTGAATTTGCAAGTGCTTTCAAAATATGTACAATGTGGGCTAGGTGGGGTAAAACTTAAAAATATGGGCTATTTTTTGTTATGGTGTGACGTCATGTGTATTTTCTTGTAATTCTTTTATTAGTTTATGGGTAGAAAAAGAAATGGGTAGACAAAGATAAATAATTTTGTTTTTGTGGATAATTGTGTCAAAACCCCTAATATAATATCATTAACTACTTAATTTTTTACCATAACCTATTGGGCCGATATGTTATAATGGTTATCCAACTGTGACGACTCGGCCAGTTGTCTCATGAGTTACCACACTGTTTCCCCCATATTTGCTTCTTTATGCTTCGTTATCCATGTTTCATGTGATCAAGTTGATTAGTTTGCGTTCGGAGGGGATTTGGTAAGAAATGAGACACTTAGTCTCTTTTAAGAGGGCTTAAGTTGGAAAAGTCAACCAGATGTTGACTTATGTGTTAGAGAGTTCGGATGTGAGTTCCGATGGTTCGGTTAGCTTCGGAAGATGATTTGTGACTTAGGAGCATTATCGGAATTGGTTTTGGAGGTCCGGAATAGAATTAAGCTTGAATTGGCGAAGTTGATATTTTGGCGAACTCCGGTTGATAGGTGAGATTTTGATCCGAGGGTCGGAATGAAATTCTGAGAGTTGCTGTAGCTTCATTTTGTAATTTGGGATGTGTTTGCAAAATTTCAAGTCATTCGGACATCGTTTGGTCGGGTTTTTGATCGAAAGTGTATTTTAGAAGTTTTTGGAAACTTAGGCTTGAATTCGATGAGTTTTGGGTAATTTGATGTTGTTTGAGGTATTTTGATGATTGGAACATGTTTGAATGATGTTATGAATTATGTTGGCATGTTTGGTCGGGGTCCCATGAGGCTAGGATAAGTTTTGGAAGAGTTTTTGGAAGATTTTTGCCGTTTTGAGCATAAACATGTGATGATCCAAAGGTCCATTTTTAGTTCTAGAGATCGAAATTTGATTTCGAGAGTTCCAAAATTTTAATAATGAATTATAGGAGTGATCTGGAAAGTTTGGGCTAATTTCATCAAGTCGTGATTGGATTTTTGACGCGAAATATGAGTTAATTATTTAACGAGTAAAATGGGTATTGCACTGAGCAAATGAACTCCAAATTGTGTTTCGATTGAAGGAATAGGTTCGTATTATTATTTGTGACTCAAAGGAACAAGAATCGCCGAATTCCGAGTTCGTATGATGGAGTTATTGCATTTTTAGTGAAATAAAAAGCTGTTGCAATTTTCTGGGCACTTGCTGATTACCTCTTCTGCGATGAACAGTACCGCAGAAGCGATGAACAGTGAATTTCCGCTTCTGCGGTGAACAGTACCGCATAAGCGAAAATTCTGGACAGTGTATATTTTGGACAGTCCGAGATTTTTTCTCATTTTTGGAGCTATGGAGCTCAGATTGAAGCGAATTTTGAAGCGATTTTCACCATATGGATTGGGGTAAGTGTTCTATATCCAAAAGTGATTATATTTAATGATTCCATGGTTATTTTCATCAAGTATTAGTGAATCAAACGGAAGAAATTGGAGAAAATTTTTAAACCTTTCAAAAACGAAAATTCTAGATTTGGAGGCCAAATTGTTGTTGGATTTTGGTAAAATTTTATGGTTGGACTCGTGGTTGGATGGGGTTTCATATTTTGTAACTTTTGCTGGGTTCCGAGATGTGGGCCCCACGGGCAAATTTTGGGCGTAATTTTGGATTTTTGATGGAAAATATAGAATTTCATATGGAATAAATTTCTATAATTTTTATTAACTGAATTGAATCGTTATGGATAGATTTGAGGCATTCGGAGGTCGATTTGAGGGGCAAAGGCGTCGCGGGTTAAAGAAATAGCCGGTTCGAGGTGAGTAATGATTGTAAATGATATCATGAGGGTTTGAAACCCCGGATTGCCCGTCATAGTGCTATATTGAGGTGACTTGCATGCCGGATAGCAAGCGTGGGGTAGAGCACCGTTGGAGGATTGTGACTTGGTCCGCCCCGATTGATGATTTTACAGCATATTTGACTGAAATTTAATTGATATTATCATGTTTTAGGCTGATTGCCATATTTGTGCTTCGTGCAAATTATTTGGACCCTTCAGGGATTTTTATCACTGTTTTCTCACTACTTTGATATATTACTTGAACTCAGTCCCATTGGTTATACTGTTTTACAAGCTCAGCCGCTTTAATTGAATTTTTGAGACTTAAATGATATTTTCACTGTTGTTTGAGCTGAGCACTTCTATTTTACTGATGCCCGAGGGGCTTGTGATGAGTTTTGGACAGAGTGAGGCTGAGGGCCATATGTGAGGAGGCTTTCAGGCCTTATGAGTGATGTGAGAAGGCTTTTAGGCCTTGAGTGTGATGTGAGGAGGCTTTCAGGCCTTGAGTGTGATGTGAGGAGGCTTTCAGGCCTTGAGTGTGATGTGAGAAGGCTTTAAGGACTTGAGTCTTATGTGAGAAGGCTTTCAGGCCTTATGTTGATATAACGCTTGGCCGTAAGGGGCCCCTCCGGAGTCTGCACACCCCCAGTGAGCGCGGGTACCCATATGATCTGATAGTTAGCCCGAGGGGCTGATACTATGCTGAGTGATTGATACTGAACCCGAGGGGATGATACTGTTTTGAGAGTGTTCTGAGAGTGAGCCCGAGGGACTGGTACTGTCCTGAGATATTGCCCGAGGGGCGAGCCTTTATGTGCTCATCTTGCATACTTACTTGTCTTTTACTTGTTATACTATGGTATTTGTGCTCGAGGGGCGGATTTCGGTGCTTATCGGCACCAATTGTTTTCAAATTTATTTCGCAACTGTTGAAAAGACTATTTTCAAAAGAGGTTTAAACCGAGCCAAAATATCTCTAAAGATTTCACAGCTTCACCGTTTTCTTAAAGGATTATACTCTGCTTCTATACAGCATGTTGGTTGCTTTACGTGATTTCTTACTGCTCAGTTGTTATTTACCCTTATTACTCGTTGAGTTGGAGTACTCACTTTACTCCCTGCACCTCGTGTGCAGATGCAGGTAATTATTCACCCGGTAGCGGGTGTTTGCTGCTTGGAGGCAGAGCTATAGGAGTTTAGCGAGGTGACTGCCAGCGTTCGTAGCACCGTTTCTTCCTATGTTGTTCATAATACTTGTTCTGTGTATTTCTAGACTTGGTAAATGTAATTAAACTCTTAAAGATGCTCGTGACTTGTGACACCCCGGTTTGGGCTGTGGTTGGGTTGTACTTCCGCTGAGTAATCTTATTAAATCATCTATAAAGTTGTTCATTCCTGTTTATCAAATTTTAAAAAGGCAAATTTGGGTTGGTTGGCTGGCCTTGTCTTCACGAGAGGCGCCATGACGACTGGAGCGGGGTTTGGGTCATGACACCAACCCAACAGCTAACTTCAACCCGACTCGTTTATTTAAGTAAATCAATTGACTCGATTAATATGTTTTATTTGGCCAATATTCTTCAAAGTAAAAAAAGTATTTTCTTTTTTAAAGTTAAAATATTTGATCAAGCTTTATTTTTATTCTTTTAAATAGAAGTAATTTTTGAGAAGTACAAAAAGAAGTTTCTCCTCAAAAATATTTTTCTTGAGAAGCACTTTCGTAAAATTATATTTAAAAGTACTTTTAAAAAACATAATTAATCACTAATTGATGCTGAAAAATTATTTTAAAATTAATTTGACAAAAGTAAACTCGCTGATTTGTCGAAACAGGATCTATAAAATTACATTTTAACCCTAAACGAAGATCTTTGACATTCTTATTATTCTTTTAGGAAGAAGAAAAAGGTTCCAATGGCTAGCAGAAAGGTCGTACGAGATTGGGTAATCTCAAAAAAACCTTCTTTATGACGAATAAAGCTCCACCACAACATGCTCGTTCTTGTGGGGTTGTTGAATTTGTGCTTTAATGGCTTTTTGCTTATTCTTTTTGTATTTTTGTGTTTGCATGCAAAGGTGGTGAACTTTATTGGAGCAGAGAGATAGGTGAGTATTCGTCCTTATTGTGTATTTAATGAATTCTCCAAACAGGTTAGAGGCGAAGTCTACAGGTAATTTTTCTATATAGTGGCTGTTTTCTTGCAAATTAATTCTGATAATTACTTGTTTTTGTCCCATTTTTGGGTTATCAGTGTCGGGTTGGATGTGTCTAGCTCAAAGCAGTGTCGTCAAAGGCGCGCTTAAGCTTAAGCGAGGCTCAAAACACGTTGAGCGCTTCAACTCGCTTTGTGGGTGCTTTAGTGTGACAACAAAGCTCTAACTCATATTTTCCTTACCAACAAGTGTAATCCTGAAAAGGCGACCTTAACAATTGATATTTCACTTTATCAAGAATTTTTTTCCAATTTCTTTATCTATATACTTGTTATTCACGCTTATAATGATTAATCTTGGACTACTAAGCATATTTTTACATTTTTTTTTATCGTAGCGCCTTATTTTATTAAAACCCACGCTTTATTTACGCTTTGCTCTTAAAGCTCCAACAGACCTCAGAGCTTTTTTGCGCTTTTCGCCTTCAATAACACTGGCTCAAAGTCTCGTAAATTGAGGAGTTGCTATTTTTTATTTTGTTGCATAAATCAGATACTATCACTTTATTAATTAACCTGTTTGGCCAAGTCCCCAAAATTTTCTTATCAGGAAAAAGTGCTCTGGTGAAAGTATGTTGGACCTGTAACTGTTGTTTGAGAAGTGCTTTTGTTAGTATTAATAAAAAAAGTTGCCCAGAAAAAGTGTTTTAAAGCGTCAAATTACAGAAAAAAGACATGTGCATGTCACTTTGGAATAAGTAATAGTGTTTAAAAAGAACCTGTTTTAGTTAGTTTTTTAATTAAAAATCTTCATAATAATGAGTCGTTAACATGTTATCCACATAGAAAATGAATTTATAAAACTTTCAACATAGTAGCAGTAAGCGAAGATGAGAATTACTTTGAAAGGATTAAAGAGATAGAGTGATAAGATCTTTGACAATGCAGTATCAGCATAATTGATTCAGAGCATTTCATTTTTTTTCTCCTATGTATACTATAAAGTTTAGCAATAATTCAACTACTTCTCAATCTTACTAGTAATTATTAATGTGTTTGTGTCGCCCTTCCCATCTACACACTCTGGGGCTTTGTTAGTGCGATTGGGTTTATTCATCAATTCTTATGGCTGCAGAAATCAAGAATTCCAACAGTCTATCAAGCAACTGAAGGAGAAAGCTGAGAAGTTGAAAGGGGTGAAAGAAGATTTTAAAACAAGGTGCTTTATAGATATCCTGTTAACATAATTTTAAGGCGTTTTAAACCATTTCCTTAAGGGGCCGAGACATACTGTTGTATGTCAAGGCTGGTAGAACTTCCAATGGGGACCCTGAAATGGTGAACCGCCTAATGCAGAATGAAGCAGACAACTGGGACGCTTTACAAACACGTGGATGGTATTTGGACGGAGACTGAAGCTACGACAAAAAAGGTATTAGTGCAACCTCACTCGGTTGCTCTGGTGCTAGTCTAATATTTGATTACTGAATGAGATTATCATGATGTGCAATGTATCTTCAAGGTATCAAGATGGTGTGCCGAGCTAACTTTTGTTAATTGTTTTTCTAGTCTTTGCCCTTTTTTTGTTGATAAAATAATGAAAAAATAAGGGAGATCCGGAGGATGCAATTAGTACAAAGTGAAGGGAGCTAAGGAAGTCGAGGAATGAAATATTTACAAACTTTAAATTGCAGCAACCAGTTAGATTAAGTAGACATTCAGCTTTATGGAGTGTAAACACTTTCAGCACCTTTTCCTGAGTCAAGGGTCTATTGGAAACAGCCTCTCTACCTATTAGGTAGGGGTAAGGTCTACAGATTACCCTCCCTAGACCCCACCTGGTGGAACATACTGGGTTTGTTGTTGTTGTAAACACTTTCAGCACCTCATATAACACTGCTTTGCTGTGGAGTTTTATCCTGTTAATATTCCGTTTAATTGTATCTTCGTCTTGTGTGGTTTCTGAGTTCTTTTCATAGAATTAAAATAAAGATATTGATCTTTCAATCTTCAGATCCTAAAATTTCCTTCAAACTTGTTATGTTCTAGTCACCGCCTTTTGAGTTATTGCAATTTGTCTTTTGAGCCGAGGGTCTCATGGATACAACCTCTCTACCCCCTCTGGGGTAGGGGTAAGGTCTGCGTACACTCTACCCTCCCCATACCCCACTGGTGGGATTTTACTGGGTTGCTGTTATTGTTTATGCCAATGTGGAGGAAAAAAATATCTGTTATGAAAGAGGAGGTTGGTGAACTCTTTAAGGAGGTGACAATTGACTCTGATTCCTATTTAGGTCAAAGATAGCTTTGGAGTGGGGAAGCAAGAAGTTCGAGGATCAATCGGTTACTCAAACACTTCTAGTTCAAATGCCAATGGGAGTAGTGAGTCTGCATCTGCAAAAAATCAACAGGAACAACAATCTGGTTCCAGTGATAGTGCGGAAACAGTTTTTACCAAGGTTAAATCTGCTGCTTCATCGAAAGTCTCACCGTTCTTTCAGAAAATAAAAGAAGCAAAGCCTGTTGACTTTGCAAATAGGGGCTACGACATCATATTGGACGAGTTGAAAGGTACTCCTCCTGGTACAAGAAAGCACCCAGAGTATTCTGCGCCCATACAAGAAACTTCATCAAACTTTGAGAGGAGCACAAGAACTGATGTTGTCTTACCATCAAAGCTTCTTCCCCATGTGTTTATTTTATAGTTGTTAAACTCTTGTCTACTTTGCTGTTCATGTTCAGTAGTTAAAATTATATGTGTTTCTTTCTTTGTGTCTTGCTTCTATTATGAATCCCCATACCACATTCCCCTATGTGTGCTGAGTTAAAGTTCATGGCCTGGCAGTATCCAAATTGCTGCCCATGTTTGAACCTAACATTCAATAGGTCCTATCTCCCAATTAAAGGTGACAGGCTGGTCAGGGGTGTGCCGGCATCCCAATTGCTGGGCATGACCACCAGCCTGCCATGGCCTTACCTAATCCCCCTTTATTGCACATACACTTACTCCTAGACTCTAAGTTCTGCCCCCCTCCTACGAGTCTTGCCTTGGGACCTTGAGTTCTCTCTGAACTTGGACATTTGAGGGATGGCCCTTCCACACTGCACCATAATCCAATTCTGCAATGATATTTGCGGTGTAAGCACTGCCTGGAGTCCACTTAAGGCTCTTGGGAAGTTTGACACCTCCTAAATAAGAGAAAGGCTTTGGAAATCTGATATTTGAAAGTTGGTTTATTTCATGTATCAGACTAGGAGTCTGAATTAGGCTCTCATTGGTTGGAATTTTAATTTTCTGATGTAATTTACTTTTTCTAGATTCATTCAAGTTGTAACAATTTGTAATAACTATGGGTGTATAGTAAAAATGGGGGAGGGACTCTCATGTTATGCATATGGGGTAGATATCATGCTTTAGGTTTATTTTTGCAATAACAACATCTTCGATTATGTATCCTCATATAGAAATCATACCTATAAGTTTATTTATTACTGCATATAGAAATCTTGCCTATAAGTCATTTCATTATGCATTTAGAAATCATGTTTATAAGTTTATCTGCATATAGAAATCTAGCCTATAAGTTTATTCACATCTGCATATAGAAATCATGCCTATAACTTTATTCATTACTGCATATAGAAATCCTGCCTATAAGTCATTCCATTATGCATTTAGAAATCATGTCTATAAGTTGATCTGCATAAAGAAATCCTGCCTATAAGTTTATTCATCTGCATATAGAAATCCTGCCTATAAGTTATTCATCTGCATTAGAAATCATGTCTATAAGTTTCTACACTTTTGCATATACACATTAGGCAAACAACCTATAGGTTAAAATAACAAATGCACTCTAGATACCATGCCTATAGGATTCTTGCACGTTTACAAACGTTTTAAAAATCAATCACGCTTAGAAATCATGCCTATAGGAATAACTAACTAAATCTGATTCGTCTACAAGCCTAAAATCAATAGTAAATATCGTTTAATATCTGCAGAATGTTGTTGGCTGCTAAAATTAGTAATCCTTCTTTAAAATCATTATTCCTTCTGTAATGTCAGATATCACGATTGCAGGCCTCATCTAGGCAAACATGTAGGTAATTAATCAACTATACCAGTCTTTAATAATTACAACCAGCAGACAAGTCTAATTCAAACTTCTTATCTGAAAATTTATGATAAATCAACCACCCTTCCTACGTTAAGTTTAATTAAATACCTAACCAGTACTTGTAAGCCATGCTAAATAATCCGTTGCTTTGAATGAGGAGGCCTACTTGAGCCTTAACTACTATGTGCTTCCCCATAATCTGCCTTATGTTGTTTTGTTTGTCGCTCTAGAATTTTATCCTTTTTAAACCATACAAAACCCACATCTACCTTCCCTTTAGGACTAGTAGTCCCAAATGCCTCCGGGACTGATAAGATCAGGACGAATACTAGCATGCAATAAGTAACTTGCGACGACCCAAAGGGGTTATCACTTGTTTTTTAGTCATTCCGTGCTTCCAAGGCCTTGAAAACCTCACTTTTAGTTGCCTCGATTTGCGTGCACAGTCTGGGCACGCAACCGGAAAGTTTTTATGTTGAAATATATGAATTATGTGAAAAATTAGAAGAATTTTGATATTAATATGATTAAAGTTGACTTTGGTCAACATTTTTGGTAAACGGACCCGGACCCGTGATTTGACGGTCTCGGGAGGTCCGTAGAAAAATATGGGACTTGGGCGTATGCCTGGAATTGAATTCCGAGGTCCCAAGCCCGAGAAATGAATTTTTCCGTGAAATTATTTTCTGAAAATGTTTAAGGAAAATGAAAATGAAATTTGATCAAAAGTAATGGTATCGGGCTCGTATTTTGGTTCTGACGCCCGGTACAGGTCATATATATTGGTTAAGCGCTTCCTGTAAAGTTTGGTTGAAAACGGACGTCGTTTGACGTGTTTCGGCCTTAAATTGGAAAATTTGGAAGTTTATGAAATTTGAAAGATTTCTTGGATTTAAGGCTCAATTCATTGATTTTGATGTTATTTTGGCGATTTGATCGCTCGAGCAAGTTCGTATGATGTTTTTGAGTCAGTGTGCATATTTGGTTTGGAGCCCCGAGGGCTCGGGTGAGTTTCAGATAGGTATCGGGATGGTTTTGGACTTAGAAAAATTGCAAAAAATCTGCAGCAGGTATTCCTTCTTCACGTTCGCGTCCCTCTGGTCGCGTTCGCGAAGGCTTCTCCTCCCCCTTCTTCGCGTTCGCGAGCCATTCCTCGCGTTCGCATACAACAAACCCGGACCCCAGCCATTTCCGCTACGCGTTCGCGTGAAGGCTCCCGCGTTCGCGGAGCCTGGCTTGCCTCTTCTACGCATTCGCGTAAGGCACCACGCATTCGCGTAGGCCAACTGAGAAGCCCCCAATTTTTCTTCTACGCGTTCGCGACTAGCTCCACGCGAACGCGATGCCCAGACCCGTCCAACCCTTCGCGAACACGACACTGTTCACGCGAACGCGAAGGGCAAATTTTTGCCCAGTGATTTAAGACCCAAAACAGAACAGAAACGGGATTTTTATCCCATTTCTCAAACTCTCTCTTCTCCACAGCTTTTGGGGCGATCTTTGGAGCATTTCTTCACCAAATTTCATGGGGTAAGTATTGTTTAACTCGTCTTCTTCATTTTTCATCAACATCAATTAAATTCTTAGGCCTAAACATGTGAAAATAGGTAGAAAATTAGAGAATTGGGTAGAGTTAGGGTTTTCAAAGAATTTGTGAATTAGACCTCGTTTTGGGGTCGAACTTAAGAACAAATTATATATTTGAACTCGTGGGGTTATGGGTGACCGGAAAATGGTTCGAACCTCGTGTTTTGACCACGTGGGCCCGGGGTCGATTTTCACTATTCCGGGCAGAATGTTGTAGAAAATATATTTAGCCATTTGGATTAGTTTGTGAAGTATTATTGATGATATTAAATCAATTGTGTATAGATACGATTGAATTAGAGCCAAATTCGAAAGGAAAAGGCATTGCTGAGGATTGAGTTGGCCGTAAACCTTCGAGGTAAGTGTTTAATCTATCCTAGCTTGAGGGAATAGGAGTTGAGTATATGTGCTATTTGTTATGTGTGAAGTCCGACGTATAGGCATGGTGACGAGTATCTATACGTTGTGGGTCGAGCATGACCGTGAGTCTTAAATTGATAATCTCACATTCTTATTTGATTTTATGAAAGAATTATTTGTTGAGCCTTGGTATCGAGCTATTGTATTTTCCCTTGCCGGGATAATTGAGTTGTTGGTTATATTCCCTTGTCGGGACCTTGTGCAATTATTGTCACTCCCCTCGTACTTGAGAAGCATTTATAGTTTGGGTGAGTTCTTGGCATGCATATAATGAGGATCGGGTTGCACGCCGCAACGGTATAATATAATAATCGGAAGGGTCGGGTTGCACGCCGCATCACTAACAAATATATAATCGGAAGGGTCGGGTTGCACGGCACAACGGTACAATATATAATCGGAAGGTCGGGTTGCACGCCGCAACGGTACAATATAAAAATTGGAGGGTCGGGTTGCGCGCCGCAACGGAGTATGGACCAAGTATGTTGATTTCATATGTAGAGTTGTTCCGTGTTTTTCCTTATCTGTCGTATTGTACAGCTTCACTTCTTATCCGACGATTTTATGATAGAATTGTTTCTACCCCAGAGCATGTTTTCCCTTCCCAAATATTCAATGTTGCTTCCTGCTATTTTTGTTGTATATATATATATATATTTTTTGAATTGTACATGTTTATGTGAGTGTCTGGTTCTAGCCTTGTCACTACTTCGCCGGGATAGGCCAGACACTTACCAGCACATGGGGTCGGTTGTGTTGATTCTACACTCTACGCTCTTTTTGCGCAGATACAAGTTTCGGACAACAGCAACAGTAGTAGTGCGAGTGTTTGCATTCCGACCATCGAGACACCGAGGTAGCCTTGCAGGCGTCCGCAGGACCCGGCATCTCCTCTATCCTTATTTTCATTCTGTTATCTCATGTATTCGAGACAAAAATTTTTATATTTCTTTCAAACGGTTGTGTTTAGTATTCTTAGAAGTTCGTGAGTATTGTGACACCAGTTCTTGGGTAGTGAATTATGTTTGGATTTCTGTATCGCATCTAGTAACATTTACTACGTCTTCCGCTAAATTAATTTATTCCGCTGTAATCATATTATTATTGCTAAATGTTTTAAAATAAGAGTTGAAAGGAATGGAGAGATAAGTAAGAGTTGCCTTGCCTAGCTCCCACTAGTAGGCGCCATCACGACTCCCGATGGTGGGAAATCCGGGTCGTGACATAACTAAACCATTCCACGTTTAATACCTTAATGGGGTGGGGAAAGGGTAGATATGGATATGATGACCGGTGCGCTAATACCACGTGTAGCCCCTCTTTCGAGGAGTGATTATCGAGTATTGCATTGATGTGATCTGTAATGACCCGGCCGGTCGTTTTGCCTTTTAGAACCCCGTCCCCTAAATAAAGCCTTCCATACTTGTTTTAACTAATTTACGACTTGCGGGGGCGATTGGTACGGGAATTGGAAGGATTTTGAGTAAAAATATGCCCATTTGCTTCTTTGAGATTTCTTAAAAAGGCCAAGTTTGACTTCGGTCAACATTTTGGAAAAACGGACCCAGATTCGTTAT